ACTTGTACTAAGTCACCAATGAACCAGTTATGAGTACTGCCTGTCTCGCCCGTTCACCCTTTTCTTTAATTTACGAAAATATTTCAAGTTATCTTATTTTGCTATTACTATTGTCTATAACATTATAGTAATTATAATGTTTATAATAAAAATAACATCATCGATATTCATAGCACTAGTAAAAAATACATTTTCCTGCCAATTCAAGGAAAGGTGAAATCAGGTAAGGCAGAGCCATCTATGTGTAGACACATTTCACAAAAAAATATAAAAAATCAGCACAGCATTTTCCCCATTTTTTGTTCATTTTCCTTGTTGCAAATGGGTTAAATAATCAGTTTGGTTTGTTGGGGGGGGGGGGGGGGTTGTGGAGGAGGAGGAGGAGGAGGAGGAGGAGGAGGAGGAGGAGGAAGAGGAGGAGGAGAAGAAGAAAAAAGAGAAAGAGAAATTTCAACAAAAATATATTTGACTAATTATGGAGACTGGACTTGTGGAACTCATATCAGCATATAAACAAATATGTATTAAAGGGCATTTCCACTTGGGGTTGGGGAAAAAAATATATGAATATGAAAGATTTTTCTGAAGCTTCTTTTACAATATGCAGTAAAAGTAAGAGCGCACCCTTTTCAAATATCATGTAAAATTTAATAACAATAATTACATGTATCTGTAAAAGCAATGCTCTCAAACTGTTTGCCTATGAATATAATGCTTGACAGATAAGTGTATATATGCTATTATCCAATACCATATGTTTTTAACATATACACCACCCTAGTAAAAACACTTATAATGGAAATGCCTCCACAGTACTGATCCACTTTCACGAAATCTAGGCTCATATAGCATCCTTAGTATTATAGTAGAATTCAAAGCAGGATAGATAATTTAACTTGGCAACTCACATCAATTGTTCTAATTATTCTCTTATTTATATTAAAAGAAAATCCTTTACTCATTTATTTACTTTTCCTACTTAACCTTTTAAAACTGTGAATCCTTCCCTGGCTGCAAAAGATGCATGATTTTTAAAGTAGGTTACTGGAATTTTAAGAACTGGATTTCACTTGCCAGAAACAGCACATTTCACTGTCATAAATCATATACACAGAGTATCAAAAGATCATACTGTTGCAGTGTTGTTGTTGTAGTTATCCCGCAACTATGAATGAATACGGGGAAAAATTACCATAAATATATATATAAAACACTTATAATGCTAAAAAGATCTTCTTTAAATTAAACAGATAAATGTGTATTTAAGTATGTATACACATCCAGATGCATGAGTTGTATTAGGACAATGATGTAGCAAGGGGTAACTGTAGTACATAATATTAAGGTGTGTAGAGGCAGAATGTGGTAGAGGAAAGGATGAGGGGGATGGGGGTTTCTGTATGAAATATACACCATATAATATGCTCATTATATTGCATTCATGAGTAGAAAATGTTGGATTACCACCATGTGCTCGACACAGGGAGAGAAAAGTCTATAAGGGTAATGGGATGGTATTATCAAACAGTACCAAATATATTAGTAGCCATTACATTACCTCACCAGGGTTGGCATTTTAAATCAACTACCCAAAAATTAGCTTTTTCTTCTTAATAGCTTCATTTTCTTGGGTTATATAGGTATTCTTTATCATTTATTTATTTTATTTTATTTCATTATGAATATTTTCAAATAAATTACAGGGAAGCATTTTTATTTCAGAGAGCATAAACTGTAAGCAATATAACTATATGCCATTAACATTCAATTAGGAAATTAAGACAGGGAATGTCTATTTCTGAAAATAATTTCTAATGCATTAATTTTAAATACTGAAGTATAAGTGGCAAAGTTTGCATAGATTTTTTTAACTCACTTTATTTAATAACAGGACTTATATTGTTATACTTGAATGCACTAATGTTACCAGTTAAAATACCAGATTGATAACCTTAGGGTGGCCACAAATTCATTTGACCAGCTGTACATGACCATGCACAATATTCAAATTAGTTAACTGAACAAATGAATTAAAAGACATGTTAAACTACAGATAATTTGTTTTAAAGAAATATGTAAACCCTTTCTGACTTTCTGATAAAAAACAGAGCTTTGTAGATAATATTGGATCATAGCACATACAGAGAGATTATGCTGTTCAATATTTTGAGAACATCATAATTCAAGCAAACACTGAATTATGGAAAATAGATAAGCTTTAGTGTCTCACAGAAAAAATCATCTTGTCTGTCTCATCTAAATTACAGTGTATGTATGTATGCACACACACACACACATGCAGGACTGACCATTTGCACTTTGTAAAGGAAAAATGACCCAAGGCACTATACAGACTCAGTAAGTAGCTGCTCTTCTATGCCAGGGGAATGTTCCCTAAACACTCCAATATCATGCTGCTGTTATGCTTTTCTGAGGACAGGTATCTGAGAATCCAGTGGGGGTGTAATAGTGTGAGAAGAGAGAAAGACAAGGTGTCCAA